AATTTTTTTTAAATTTTATTATTTTAAATTTTGTTTAAACTGAAAAATATTTCCTGCTTTCCTTTCCTTCTGGGAGAAGCACGCCCGAGGTCTCAGCTTGAGAATGTGCATTTGTAATGGCGTCTCTGTATGTTATCCTCCCTCTTCCTCCTACCTCTGGAAATTTATAGTTTATTCTAAGCTTTTTTTTTTTTCCTGCTCCCAGTGCTATCCCTCTCCTGCCTAAACCTGAGTTTGAGATGTGTAATTTAGAGAAGAAATGGGTGCACAGAACACAAGATGTGTCTGTTACGATAAAAAGCAAGATACACATTTGGGGACAAGATGAGCCCAGCTGCAAATATTGACATGGGAGTTAAGGCATGATTTTTTTTTTTTAAAATTTTTTATTTTTTTTCCTCCCCGCTGTGGTACAGTCTGTCCTCTCTGGAAGTCATTCAAATGGCTGACTGGGACTTGAAAAACATTAGGGATTGTGTTGGGGGTTTTTGTGTATTTTACTAACAGGAGAAATTGTAATGCTGAGGGTTTTTTTGACACAAAAGAGTATATTTCTCTCTCTCTTTTTTTCCCCCCAGAAGGAGTCACAGACAACTCTGCAAAGAAGATGGAGAGAAGGAACGATGATCAATCAATACTGGATGCCCGAGCTCGCTATCTGGAGAGAAAGAAGCAAAGAGCACAGGGTTTAAGTGGCCCAGTGAAAGAGATAGGGTAATAGTCACGACTGCTCTACTCCCACTGTGAGGAAAGGCAGTTTGATGTAGTTGTTCTGGGTGTGTTTGCATAATGCAAAATGAGTAACTGGAATGAAAGAAAACTTCTGCTTTGTGGTTAGTTTGAGTGCCGAAGCATACAAACGCAGTCTTCCTTTGCTGCATCCAGCAAGGAAAAGTTACCAAGCTGAATTTCGTTGCTACGTGTCGCTGGCAACAATTTAGTGGCCTCAAATGTGGATGAAGACACGATACTGACAGTGGTGCCAATTCTGTGGCATCGAGTTGACTTAAAGTGGTCTCAGTGGTCTCGGTGCCGTTATTAATAACATTTTCTTAAAGGTTGTTTTTTAAAGAAGTGAAACTGTCTCTTTTTATCCATTTTACTTTGTATGATTGTGGCTGTACAGTCTTCGTGTTCCTGCACTACTCAGGATAATGCGTAGGAAGCGCTCCTTTATTGATGGAACCGTCAGGATCTAAATTCAAAAGGACGTTCGCCGCCTGTGTTCTCTGTTGCAGTGTTGTTCCTACTCGGTGTTGTGCTGTACCATGTACAGTGATGTTTCTGGGAGAAGATGTTTTTGTATGCAAAGTATTTTGTAAATGTTTTCACATTGCTGCTAGCAATGCATCATTTTTGTCAGGGATGACTTAGCACTGTTCGTCTTCCATTTGGCAAAAACCACCCCAACCCAGCAGTCAGTCTAGTACTCGGCCAGGTTACATCCTGCAGTCCATCAGCAGGCCTGCTGCCTCGTGGGCTTTTTTTTTTTTCTGAGTTTGGTGGCTGTTATTTTTCAAATGTATGGATTTCAGTCTGGAGAATGTTTCAAACTTGTAGAGAGAATACACAAGGAAATACTAGCTTTTTTTCCTTACCCGAGTATATAACAGAGCAAAGAGCTGTGATGCTTTGTCTTCATAAAGTTTGTTTCCTTCTGACCAAAGAGGTAATCCCATACTGTCACCTTAATAATCCTAAAATGTTCCACTGCTCTAGCACAGAGCTTGTCTTTTTTTGCTGTTTTTCACTTTCGGTATGTTGTGTTTTGTATAAGACAGTTTCCAAAAAACTGCAAGAACCTCCTGTAATTTTTCATGCCTCAGTTGAGTACACTGTTGTCACCTTCAGTTGCTTTTCAGGTAACTCCCCTCCTGCTGTTAAGTGATGTAAGGGGGCCTTAGCACTTGGTGTAAAATGTTCACATTCCACCTCTGTCCTGCACAGGCTGCAGCTGATCATAAGCTCTCAAAAACCTTGGGCTTCTCTTCAGGGGAATGGTAATATTCTTCTTCATAAAGAAGGGAGTAGGTGTGATAATTGTCCCTCTTTCTGCGATTGTACCTATTAAAATGAAAAACCTGAGGCTGGTCCATGTACTTGCCCAAACTCCATGAAGGCGGCGTGAGTCCGGCTGTGGCGTACGCCAACAGTTGCCCTGCGGGGCCGAGTACCACCGTGCGAGGCTGTGAGAGGTTTAACTCAAGAAACATTGTAGTGGTCAGTGGGAAGAGCAGGAGCAAGCAGCGCTGCCTGCAGCTGCCCTGCAAGTTTCCTAATGGCAGGAGAATTGCTGCCGCCTGCCCCTCTTCTGAGAGCACAGAAACGGCGGCGAGGTTGATGCCTGCCTCGTTCCTAAGGGAGCGCGTGAATCAGTTACTGGTTGTGATCAATCTTTGTAGGAAGTGGCATGTTTACGATTTCTTTTTCATTGGGTCCTTTATCCTGCGTTCAGATAGAAAAGGGGTTTTGTTCTTTCACGCTGTTGTTCAGACTCTGCTTTGAGAAGCCAGCCCTTTTTCTTGATGAAACCTATAGTCTGAATTTTGCAAAAGCCCACCAATTATTGCTGTTTCCTTTGATTTTTATTCTATTTGCAATGTCACAGCCACTCGCAAGTCCAGTGCCATCTGCCCCACACACTAGGTCTGAGACCAGTAGCTACAGCGCCTACTTTCTTTTTTGCTTTCTTCTGTTTTTGGTTTTTTTTTTTTACTCAGTAGCAAGAAGGGAGGTTTTTTTTTCCCCTGTGTTCCAGACTGCTTTTGAAATTGTGAATTTAATACAAAGCAAAGATGGTATGAGGAAATAACGCTGGGATTGCAAAACAAGGAAAGATAAAAGCAGGGGTTTGAATGCTGGGCTGCTCGTGCGTTACACCACACACAGCCCCCCTGAAGCACTGGCACAGCGTTAAGTGTTACCCGTTTCTATGGGCTGGAGTTTCGTTGTCAGTTAATAAACACAGAGGGAAACGTGAAGTCTCATTATGTTGCCGTACTTATTAACGGTGTTTCGGGGGAAGAGTCTTTTGGGCTATCCCTGGAGTCTCAAGGGATGGCTGCAGCTCATTTACAGCCCGTGATTTCGGTGGAGGAAGGTCGGTACCGGCTTATGGTCTATCCCGACCTCCTTTTTTTTTTTTTTTTTTTTTTTT